GTGCATTGGCAGATTTTATTTGCATTGTGATTTATACAGACCAATTTATATAAGGCTACTTCTTATTATATTTACTTCTTATAAAAGTAAGAGATTCCCAGTACTGGGTTGCAGCTGGAAGTGCATCTGCTTTGTAAAACATATGCTGGATAAGTTGGCTGTTCATTCTGCTTTAGCAACCCCTGATTAATAAAGGGACTAAGTGTATGAATGAATAAATGAGTTCACCCAAAAATAAAAAAAATTCTGTCATCATTTACTCTGCCTTTACTTGTTCTGTTGAACACAAAAGAAGATATTTCAAGCTCATTCTTAAAACGTACCCCTATATACATTTCTGGAGAGTACCAAATATGTCCTAGGAGCTTCGTTTTTTGCAGTTTTTGTTTTCACAAATCCCCCAGAGGCTGCTGTGTACACTTATTCAAATCTCAGATTTCTCTCGCGAGTGCCATTTGCTCCTGCTGTTCTCACATAAATCCACCAGAGGCCGCTGTCAACTGACTGACTGACTGACTGACTGACTGACCCACCCTCCTCCTTCCCTCAACCCAACCAATAGTCTTTTCAAAAGCACTGATTGACCCGCCCACCCACTTCCCTTAACCTAACCGACAGTTTTTAAAAGCATTTCAGAAAAAGAAAAGCCCTCATCTGATTTTTACCACGTTTTCAGATTTTACCACATTCTCACCCTGTTATTTATTTGTTTGTTTTATTTTTTGGCTTCTGTTTTTGTCTTACCTGCTTACTGGAATTGTTCTTTACTGGACTCGAATCCCATGGTCAACTCCTCTCTGCATCTCAAGTTCACCAATGTACATGTCAAGCTACCAGACAAACTGGTAACAGTGGGAAATCCATCCACACTGAGGTAAGTGGTCAGCTGGTAAGCGCAAAAAGGAACGGTGTTACACCAACCTACCATTCGCTTTAAGGACGAAATGCAGCCATACGTACATCTGGCTACATGATTTACTATCTCCAGAAATATAGACAGGGGTACGTTTTCAGAATGAGCCTATGTTGAGATATTTTTAAGAAAGTTGGAAACTGGTAACCATTGACTCCCAGTTTATTTGTTTTTCCTACTATAGAAGTCAGTGGTTACTGACTTTAAGATTTCATCAGAGTATCTCCTATTGTATTCAACAAAATAAAGAAACTCACCACTTGAGGGAGAGTAAATAATGAGTCAATTTAGTCAAGAACTTGCCTTAAGCTTTGACTCTGACACCTACTAACTCAATAAAAGTCCCATTGTTGAATTTCTCAGGATCAAATATAAAAACAAAGATATTAACTGCGCATTAGTCGCTAAGAATCGTTCAGTTTTTCTCTGTTCAAGTTTAGCATTGAAATTCAGGGTCAAAGGCGCACTTCTAAATTATTAGTTTGAAAAGTTCCCCTTCCACATTTTTTTATTCCATTAATTTCATTTCAAGAGTTCCCACTTAGATATGCTTGGCACTTATAGAAGGTTTGGCATGCTGTCCCGGGAGAGAACCCTGAGCTCGGAGATATTTGAGCCCAGGGCTCCCGCCCGGTCTAGAAGCATATCAGGAGAACTGAGATCAGGTAGGTCTCGATGGCTCCCCCTTTAGAAGGGGAGAAAAAGGAGGAGATGGGGTGGAAGGGGGGATTCTTCCAAAACGAAGATAGTGCAATAAGGAGAAAGTGATCCATTTATATTAAGCTAGGATCATTCTGATTGGATTATTACTGATTACGGATGAGTGGCCAGCGGTGCACAATCATATCACTTGCTCCTCTCGAAATTAGTTTATGAAACTTCACTTCACGCTACCTGTAGCACTTATCCAATCAAAAGTAACAACAGTTACAACTGAAACTGACCACACAGACAAACACATGAATAAATGACAATGCCAGTGGATATATCAATGTTCAGTCAGAGGTCCAGATCAACTCCAGAGAGCCATTCAGATGAGTATAAAACATGACAGTATTGGCAGGTCCCCAGATAGAGAAGTGCTTAGCTTTCACAAAGCAGGATTCATAATAGTGCTCTATACTTCTATACCAGGCCCATATTGAGCGCTTGTGACACATGAAACTGCCAGTCCATGATGAGAAATAACCACTGTCAGCTTTTATCCCAGCTTCAAAAGATTTAAACCCCAGCGGAGAGATTGGACAGAGCGAGGCTGAAGCGGAGCAGAAGAGATCACGTTTAACGGAGGTGGGTCATTTGCCAAATCGCACTCATTGTTTTATCAATTTCAGATTACACAGATGGCGCTACTACAAAGACGGCAACTATGAGGATGTTTATGTTGTATATTTTAAAGGAATAGATGACCAAGAAATTAACATTTTGTCATCAATTACTCACCCTTAAAACCATTTTGGTTTTTTTTTCAGTTGAACACAAAAGAAGATATTTTGAAGAATGTTGAAAAACAATTTACAATTGACTTCCATAGTGGGCAAAACATGGGAAGTCAATGGTTACAGGTCTACAACATTCTTCAAAATATTGTATTTTGTGTTCAACCAAAAAACAATAAATAAACTCAAATGAAGGATGAGTAAATGGCGACAGGGTTTTATTTTGGGCAAATTATACTTTTAATTTACACAGTTTGTTTGTGCATTTAAGTGAAGTTTATTTATAAACTAATTTAGAGAGGATCACATGCTTATGATTGCTTGCAGCCGGCATTATATAATTTCTGATTCACCAATCAGACGATTCCTAAGCCACTATAAATACCCTAAGTTCCATATAACAGCCATCTTCGTTTTAGAAGAATCTCCCCTTCCACCCCAACTCCTCCTTTCCTAGATGGGTGGCACGGTGGCCCAGTGATTAGCATTGCTGCCTCACAGCAAGAACGTCACTGGTCCTAGTCCCTACCAAGCCAGCAAACATTTCTGATATTACAGGATTTCCCCGTGCTCACGTGGGTTTTCACCGGGTTTCCCGGTTTCCTCCCACCATCCAAAAACATGCAACTTAAGTCAATTGACTAATTCAAATTGGCACCAAAGACATGCTCCTAGTAAGTAGTTATCTCTGAAGAGCAATCACTATCTGTTTATTAGCTACTACAGCAGGGGCGTTCTCAAGATCTACTTGAGCTCAAACTCCCCTCTCGCCTTGCAAATAGGAGGGAGCCCCGGGCTTGAGGATCTTATGAGCTCAGGGCAGTTGATTTGACTTATTGAGTTTTACAGTACTAAGTTGGTTTGAGTTCTCTTCATTTATTGTTTTTTTCTGCACTGTAAAACCCAAAAAGTTAAGGGTAACTCGTTTGAGGAAACTGATTGTAACAAGGCATTTGAGTTAAAAAAAAAAAAAAAACTAATCCAAATGAGTACTGAGAACTTAATCCATTTGAGCGCAATTTGAGCACAGTAAAACCTGATAAATGAAGAGAACTCAAACCAACTGAGTACTGTAAAACCCAACAAGTTAAGGCAACTCAAACCGTTTGAGGAAACCAATTGCAACAAACCATTTGAGTTAAAAAGCTAATCTATATGAGTACTGTGAACTTACTCCATTCCAGTTGAATGAGGTATTTAATTAACTCATTATCTTCAACATTGAGTTCAAAACTCTTTTCAAATGAGTAGAATTAACTTTCAGTCAATTTTGTGTTACTTACAGTCATTTTATTTGATAAAGTTGACTGTTGGATTTTACAGTGTGTGCTCAAATTGCTTCATTTCCTCAAATGGATTAAGTTCACAGTACTCTTTAGGATTGGTTCTTGAACTCAAATGGTTGGTTGCAATTGGTTTCCTCAGACGGTTTGAGTTGCCTTGACTTACTGGGTTTTACAGTTGGTTTGAGTTCTCTTCATTTATCAGGTTTTATTGTGTTAAATTGCTTCGTTTACTCAAATGGATTAAGTTCACTGTACTCGTATGGATTAGTTTTTTAACTTAAATGGTTTGTTGCAATCGGTTGCCTCAAACGGTTTGAGTTACCTTAACTTTTGGGGGTTTACGCAGTGTAGCTAATAATGAGGTCAATAAAGGCCAAGATAGAAATAAGTATCGTTATTCGTACGTACTTTATTTGTACCATTTAAATATACTTAAATATATATAAAATGATACTAATAAACCATATATTCTCTGTGTCCTCATTTTGTCAGCAGAATTACGTTTTGAAAATAACGAAGACTTCAATGATATATTCTAAGGGGAGAAGCTACATTGCACCTCGCAATGTCTGCATAATTAATTTCTAATTGATTTTCATTTTTTCCATCAAGCGTGCAGCAGTGTGTGTCTATATTTTCTCAGGGAAGTTTGTGAATAAGTTCTCTCTCTCTCTCTCTCTCTCTCTCTCTCTCTCTCTCTCTCTCTCTCTCTCTCTCTTCTCTTCTCTTTTCTGACTGACAATGTCCTTTGCTCACATCATCCCTCATACTCCTTCACTGGGGCTCCACTCTTTCTCTCTCTCTCTCAGCCTGTGTGCATTCAGAATCAGGTGTCTGGTGTGGAACAATAAATATGGCTTTACCCCTGATTAAGAGTTCTCCCATCGGGGCTTTAAGACGGGGAGCCTCATCCCCCCCATGCAATTAAATCAAGTTCTTTTTTTAATGAGGAGTGTGTTTATTAAGTCCATTCAGGGACTCGTCCACAGAGGCTGTTAGCATTGCTCTCTGATTAGGAAGGCTAAGCAGTCTCGAGAGCTGGGAGCGAGAAAAGCGCCGAGTCCTATTTGTTGTTGTTGTTTTGGGGGGCAGAAGTTGTTAATATGGGAGGTATGGTAGCTACACAATCTATTTTCTAGCAGTTAGCAGCTCGGCTATAGTGGCAGATTGACGGGGAGAAAGAGTGAAAGACACTTCAAAAGGGAAGGAGGATCCCAGTCTGGTAAATGAGAAGGCAACCCGTCTGGTTTCGGGGTGTGTGGCTCGCTGATATCACAGGTGTAGTTTCAGAGAGTGAGACACTTTGTTGAGGGGAGACAAAGAAAATGTGGGAGCGAGGAGTCGGGCCAAATAAAGCTTGTGTTCGGCGCAGGCAGAGATTTTAGATATTGTTTATTATGGCAATACTGCCACCTATAGGCTTACTATGACAACATCTAGAGAAGGGATGGGAAAAAGGGTCCTGAGTCGTCATATTTGTTGACCCAGGAATAATATTTTAGTTATCCAATCAGATTTGAGGAACATGTTTAAACTTTATAGTTTATGTCGACTTCAGAGGGGATATTACATCAATGTTGTTGGCCATTCTCAAAAGTAAAGGTACAGCAGCTGTCATTGGTGTGGTACCTATAGGAGAAGGGTAATCCTGCACAACTGGAGTGGCTGCACTCTCAGGACCGCATTTTTAGGACCGCATCTTTAGGACCCTAGTTTTTTGTGACAGCGTTACCTGTCGGATTGGATCATGGATGCGCTAATGGACGACACGGATGACAAGGAAAGTGTAAGTACCGATTTTTCTATTAAGTTTTATTTTAAACTGTTAAAGTATGTGTTTATTTTGTAATGCTGCTGTTTTATACTGTGAGTTTATGCAGAAATGCCAGATTAGCCTGCATGATTTACCCCACTTTTAAGGGTCTGGGACAAAAATGTTACGTGACGATTTTTTTTCCAGAAGAAGAATAAAATATTATAATAATAAATATGGATAATTTTACACAGCCAGAGTGAGAGCTGCTATAACTGTTAATAATTTTCTAGAGTTCGTTTTCTAGTTTGATTATACGTCGTTCGTAACTCGTGACCATGGTTTAATGAAACATTGTTGATTTAATGGCTTGTTGACTTAACGGCTAATGTGCTTAGTGACATGCATTAAACTGAGATGGTAAAAGCACGTTTGATGTAAGAGTTTTAGATTTATCTATATTTTACTGAATTCGTGTTATTCGTTGTATTACATTAGCACATTAAAAATTGTGCTGACTGCCTGTTTGCCCCACAATACTGTATGTGTTATTAGCCTGATGTTTTGTCATCGTTTTACAGTGATGAATGAGATTCTGAAAGTTAGGCTTATTCTGCAGGTCTTAACCATATAGAGTCTCATATCTTTAATTTATATCAGGTATGTTTTACCTGGCGAAAAAGAAGTGATGGCCAATATGATTGGATTGCTTAGGCTCATTGTAGGAGGAAAAGAAAACAAACTACAGGAATATTTTCATTGAGGTTATCTCAAACTGTTGAGTAACACTTTATAACATCTGCATACTATAAATAAATAATTATTAAGCATTTAATAACTAGTTAATTTATTAATATTTTATTTGTTTAGCATTAACTCTACATTTAATAGACATTGATAAGCAGTTTATAAATACAGTTACAAATGCTAGCTGTGTTCTTGAGTTTATAGCATATCTATGATGAAGTGCAGATTATCTGTGGTGTTCATTTTCCAGAGGAATGTCTGGCCAAATAAGTATATAAACTGCATGCTGGGTGCTACTCATTTATGAATCCATGTAAAATGATTTGCTGTTCTGTGGTGGTATTTTAGTTCATATTTAATGATTTTTTTTTCAAAGGCCATCGTACATCCTCTGGGTGTCTTGAGGAGCTGGTCTTTGGATGATGCTGAGCAGGTCTTTCTTTCTGGTAAAGATTATCATTACAGGTCAGAATATGGTTAATTTTGCACAATGCTCAAAGAGCCTTTTTGTTACTGGTATATATGTTAACTCAACAGTGGATTTGCTTTTTTTAGTGTTTGGACTTTCAGCAGTGAATACTAAACCACACTGAACTGAACTGAATTTAATAAATGTTAAGCTGCTTTGACACAATCTACATTGTAAAAGTGCTTTAGAAATAAAGATAAAATTAATTGAAATTGAATTGAATATTCAACACATTTCCATTTTTCTCAGAAAACATATTTATAAAGGTGCTGTTGACTTGAAATTTTCACCAGATGTTGATAACAATTTGTAAAGTAATTAGATTTGTTTTCTATTCATATATATTTTGTTCTTCGGTTTTCAGGTCAATAGCACCTTTAGAAATATGTTTTCTGAGAAAAATGGGAACTTGTTGAATACTTATTTACCCCAGTGTGTATGTATATATATATGTATGTATGTGTGTGTGTGTGTGTGTGTGTGTGTGTGTGTGTGTGTGTGTGTGTGTGTATTTATATGTATGTATTTATGTATGTATATATGTATGTATATGTGTGTATATATATATATATATACTTGAACTTTCTTCTTCACTCTCATTCACAGGAGCTAAAGTCTACAGCCAGTCTGAATGCAGCAACTGAATAAACAGTGGAGTCATTTTTGTGGTTGAATTGCATTAATAAAAATAAAAGTGTGGATATTTATATAAATGTACATTCTTGAATCTTCCTTGCGTCTTGTCTCTCTAAAACCTTTACAACCTGGTTTTAAATTAGTAACTGCAAATGCTGATCCCATTTGATTTCAATTTATTTTCCTTAATACTGAGCTAATTAGTTCAATGTAATGGGGTTCATCAAAATACAGTATTTTTCAAGGAATTTAAGACTTTTAAGGCACTCAACTCTATTTATTAATTTATATTTTAGGTGTAAATTCATTTGTTTCATTTTAAAATTGTTACTTAAAGCAGGCGTTTTACACTTTAACCTCTGTAATAAAAGTGCCTGAAAGTTTCCGCTATATAATCCAATTCGGTAGGTGGCGCAGTTACAAAACGGGTCCTAGAAATGCAGTTTCACTATGTCATCCAATCCGGTAGGTGGCGCTTTCGCAAAAAACTAGGGTCCTAAAAATGCGGTCCTAAACATGCGGTCCTGAGAGTGCAGCTACTCCAGTTGTGCAGGATCATACTATTGACCTATAGACCAATTACCATGTTTGTAAACATTCAGGATGCGCGCGCAACGAGGTGGCAGAAAGCAACCGGGAGCCCTAGCATTCACAGCGAGGAAATGACATCAGATGCGGTGCAGAGTTTGTTGTTGTCTTAGAAATAAGATATATTACTTACATATTATATATATTATTTACAGAATGCTTACAGCATATTATAACAGCTCGTCACCCAGTGACAAGCACAGTGATTCAGCAACCCTGCTAAAAAATCCAGCTTAAACCAGCCTAGGCTGGTTGGCTGGTTTTAGCTGTTTTTTTCAGTAAGGAAAATTACCGTTAAAGTGAGCGACGTTCATCTGATAGCTCCATTTGCGATAGCACCCTCCCAATGAATATTGGATAAGACGAAGTGACCAAGCATCCAGCCCGAAATATACAATCTCATTGAAGTTAAAGGTCTACAAGTCTTTTGATGCAAACAATTTTGTTCTTTGTGGTCATGTGCAAGAAATAATGCTCTGTGATGACCAGATTCAAGAGCTAAACACAGAGATTCCGCCTAGCCAAAGACAAGGAAACAAGATGGAGCTAACGTTATACAAGGCCTGGGTTATTAATCACCAACACGCAAAACAACTGCATTCTGACAGTGAACTGCACTGATATGACATGAGAACTGTACAGCCCAGCATTTCCCTGCTGAAAAATACAGCTCAAACCAGCCTAGCATGGTTGGCTGGTTTTAGCTGGTTAATCCGACTGGTTTTAGAGGGGTTTTGGTCACTTCCAGGCTGGTTTCCAGCCATTTCCAGCCTGGTTTTAGCTGGAAAGGCTGGGAGATGACCAGCTAAAACCAGCTTGACCAGCCTAGCCAGGCTGGGAGCCCAGCCAAAACCAGCTATGTCCAGCTTAAACCAGAATGGTCAAGCTGGTTTTTAGATGGTTTTAGCTGGTCATTTTCCTGCCTGACCAGCTAAGACCAAGCTGAAAATGGCTGGAAACCAGCCCAGAAATGACCAAAACCCTCTAAAATCAGCCTGGTCAATCAGCTAAAACCAGCCAACCAGCCTAGGCTGGTTTAAGGTGGATTTTTCAGCAGGGTTCTAATTAGCTCCTTACTTCATTCAGCTCCCATTTAGCCAAAGACGTCTGCAGTCGGTAGTAAAGCAGTGTGTGGTGTATGGTAAAAGTTAAGTTTTCTATTTTTGGACTCGAATTCGGCATCCTACCGCACAACACGACATCTTTCCCATTGCAGCCTGTTCTTTTTTTGCAACCTGGGACTCGTGTGACGTCATGTGTGACGTAGGTTGGTAATTGGTCTATTCATTCACTCACTAATTCACTGCTGAAGAATCCAGCTTAAACCAGCCTAGGCTGGTTGGCTGGTTTTAGCTGATTGACCAGCCTGATTTTAGAGGGTTTTGGTCATTTCTGGGCTGGTTTCCAGCCATTTTCAGCTTGGTCTTAGCTGGTCAGGCAGGAAAATGACCATATATTTCATGTCGGTTGCAATATTTGCATATACACAAACTATTAATCAGACAACAATTTTGGTTCAGCCTTAGAAATCTGCAAATAAAACACATAGATTTAAGGTTAAGTAATGTTTAGTAAAGCTGAAAAACATACCACATGACTGCATGTAAATCACTTGCATATAATCATCTCAAATGATGAACTTTCTCTAGAAAATAATTATAATTCTAACTCACTCTCTTTACAACCAAACATCCTATTTTCCATCCTCTTAACACAATTCATGTCTAGCTCTCGAACCCTTATCCTTTGTGTAAAGGAACACACACTTAGGGCTTTTCACAACTCTTAATATTCATCTCCAAGTGCGTCTGTTGGATATTTAAAACTTTTCTGAGTGGCGAGAGACGGGGATTATATACCTGTGGCAATTACCTCTTAGATCTAGCCATTGTTCCCCAACTGCACAGTAATTATACAGGTGATTGCCACCAGAGAAAAAGCCATTGTTCAGACTACAAATTCACTACACCGTCGTCATTCACAGCGCTTAGAGTTAGCCATTGACACCAACAGTAATCATCTTGTACATATTCAAACATAATGACCACCCACGCGCTCAAAAAACTCATTCAGTGACACCGTAATCACAAACAGAACAGAACTATTCTTCTTGGTACTGTAGGTCGCTGCGCACAAAGAACGGAGCTGAACTTTGTCCTTTGAGGGTTAGCGAAGAATACAGAGGAGATCAGTATTCAGGCTGAGTTCCTGCCTTGCTTCTATTAAGTGGGAGAGTGGCAGTCTGATTATCCACATTGTTGGCAGTGGTGGGAGCGCACTGTACTGGGCCGTTTTTGCATTAACGTTCTGATCAAATTTTCATAACTCAATTTGGCGGAGGTTTGCATGTTGAGGATTGAGCGTCGGTGGAAAAGCTCTCTGGTGCCTGCCTTTGCCCGTGCCGTGTGCACCTTTTCCATGACATTGACGGTCTCGTGACAATATGATGAGGCTCGCTCAACTCATGCTGCTCCCATTTCATCTACCCTGCACTCTTAAAGGGATGGTTCACCCCCCCAAAAAATTCAAATTCTCTCATTATTTACTGTTCGTGTCAGAATTATAGCCCTCCTTTATTATTTTTAGCCTGATCCTGTATATTTCTGGGGTTTTTTTTCCATTATATATTATTATTTAGCTTTTTCAAAAGTTAACAATACAACACATCAAAACTAAGCAGCTAACAAACTAAAGTAAAACATACACAGTATATAAAACAAATAAGTAAAAATAAATAAATAAAAAGGAAGGAGATACAGTGTGTCAAATCAAATCTGTTTTAATATATTATTATTTCCCCAAAACTTGGGAAGTTGAACTTGTGTTAATTCTCAATCAATAAATTAGGTAATTAACATTTATAATTATTTTATTTTTATTTTATGTTATTTATTTTTATAATTTATTTTATTTTATGCGTGCAATATTTTACCAAACTTATAAAGTTGAACTTGTTTTTATTCCCAATAATAAATAGTTCAATAACATTTATTATTATTTTATTTTATTTTTAATTTAATTTTATTTATTTATTCATTTATTTATTATTTTATTTAATTTTATTTAATTTAATTATATACAATTTTATTTTATTTTATTATTTTATTTTATGTGTGCAATATTTTCTCAAAACTTGGTTTTATTCCAAATTAATAAATTAGCTAATTAACATAAAATTGTATTTTATTTTGCTTTTCATTTTATATTTATTTTATTTTTATTTAATTTTGTTTTATTTGTTTTTATTTATTTTTTTATGTCAGAATTATAGCCCTCCTTAATTATTATTAGCCCTCCTGTATATTTCTGTATTTTTCCCATTATATATTTTTATTTAGCTTTTTCAAAAGTTAACAATACAAAACATCAAAACTAAGCAGCAAACAAACTAAAGTAAAACATACACAGTATTTAAAATAAATAAGTAAAAATAAATAAATAAAAAGGAAGGAGATACAGTCTAAACCAGTGGGGGGAAAAAACTATTGTGTCAAATCAAATCTGTTTTAATGTAATTAAAAAATTAAAAAATATTATTCTAACTTATGCTTTTTCTTTCCTACAGGATGAAGAAGTGTGGATCACATTACATTAGAGTGTCTTGAGGGAGATTTTGCAAAAGAAATGTAAAAAAATATATCAGTTATCTAACAACATTCAGCTGCTCAGCACATAATGGTAGCTCACATCTCTAATTATAGATATGTCATGCAGATCACAAAGATTATAAAAGAGACGCATAGCACAGGTGTTATAAAAGATCTTCCTTCATTCTATTCATGCACTGCCATCATTTCATGACCAATCACCTGTCAGCTATAACATTACTGAGGAAACTTCACGGCAAGAGCATTTCTTCCTGTCAACAAAGGCCTGAAAATCATGCAAATTAATAAAGTAAAACAGACTTTTTAGTATTATTTATTTTTAGTTGTATTCATATCTGAGGGTTTATTTTGGGGGTTGTGCCTTATTTGCAACATCCAAACACTAAATAATTGTTATGATATACAGTATTAACATGTACACTGCAACAGGTTTGTTTGTTTTTTTGTCACTAAACATGATCACACTCTTCACTGTTTCTAGATCTATCACTAAATTTAATTTAATCTTCATATTAGAAAAAAATATATATATAAAATTTATATTGTATTTTACATATTATTTGATATCCATGACAGCAATGATTTAGCATTGTTTTTATTCCCAATAAATAAATTAGTCAATTAACATGTATTATTTTATTTTATTTTATTTTATTTTATTTTATTTTAGGAAAGCATGCGTCCAATATTTTCCCAAAACTTGGGAAGTTGAACTTGTGGTAATTCTCAATCAATAAATTAGTTAATTAACATTTATTATTATTTTATTTTTATTTTATGTTTTTTATTTTTATAATTTATTTTATTTTATGCGTGCAATATTTTACCAAAACTTGGAAAGTTGAACTTGTTTTTATTCCCAATAATAAATAGTTCGATAACATT